CGCCGCTCGCCGAGCGCCTCGGCGCCCTCCGCCTCGAGCTGGTGAGTGCCGCGGGGCCGGGGCGGGTAACTGCCCCCCTCCGGGTAAATACCCGCCCTTCTGCCCCTGCCGGGCTGACCCGCTGCTCCCGGGGCGGGCGCTGCCCATGGCCCTGCTGGGGACAGAGTGACCCGGGCGGGTTAGTGAGGGTGACCCTTTCCCGGAGCCGTTTTGGGGTGAAAAGGCGGCGTTTTGGCCGTGCCGGGTGCTGAACGTCACCCGCAGCCGGGCTGAGCCGCCCGGTCCCGGGGGAGCCGCCGGGGACAGCAGGGCCCCCGCGCGGGCGCTTTGCGGGGTCCTCCCGGCGGCCCCGCGGCATTTTTCCCATGCGGGGTGACGGGAGCGAATATCCTGCTCCTCTCGGAATATCCCGCTCCTCCCGGAGACGCGGCTGACGTTGGGAACGGGTTAAAACGGCCCTGGGGGAAGGGACGCTCCCACGCACCCACACGCTCAAAGCAGGGTCGGGTAAGCGCCGTTTCCATAGGAAAACGGGCTAAAAATAGCCAGCATCCCTCCTGCTGCCCTGGAGGTCTCCGCGTGCGGCACTGGCCCGAGCTGGGGACCCTGCCCGTGTCCCCGGGGCCGGCCGCTCATCCCCCTCCTGCTGCCCTTCATCCCTATGGAGAAAGGTCCCAGGCCCTTGCAGAGCAGGAAGGAGCTCTGCTTTTCCCAGGCTGCTTCCCGCAGCGCCGGGAGCCCGGAGCAGGGATGCCGGGAAGGTGACAAGCGCCCCCGTCCCTCATCCCGCCCCGCGGCTCCAGCGAGCGCCAGCTGAAGGGAGGAACTTGCCCGGGAGTGGGTGGGTGAAAAGAGCAAATTCCAACCTTTGCTTCCTAATCTACAGAGGATATTTCATCCCTTGGGCCAAATTCCTCCTTGCGGGAATGACGGAGGCGGACTGGGGTGGGGAGGGGGCGATTCCAGCCTTGCTGCAGGGCGGGCTGGGCCCAGCCCCAGGCTTTGCAGGCGCCCCAGGTGCTGGCACCTCGGCTTGCAGCCCTGCAAAGGAGGCTTCAAAGGAGGCTCCCAGCTCGGATGTGCTGGGGACACAGCAGGGACAGGAGGGGACAGGATGGGAGTGTTTTGTTTGTTTTGTTGGTGAAAATGCAGATCCCCACTTGCTAATTTGTGCCCCCTGGGCAGGGGTGGGCCCCAGACCCCTTCTGGTGTGTGACTCCTTAGGCTGCTGTGGCTTGGGTTTGGTGCCCGGTTTTTCATTCTACTCGAGGCCCTGCAGAAGCTGAAGCTGCAGTGATCAGCCCCAGGAGTGTGTCCATCCACCCTCCTTTTTATTTTGATTTTTTTTGCACAACTTCAGGCTTTCTTGGCCATTTATCCCTGGCTTTGCACCCGGGATAGACACCTCCTCAAAGGTGGAAGGTGCTGGTTCCCGGTGCCCTGGCTCGGGAGAGGAGAGGGGCCCTGTTCCTGCTCCCGCATACCACCTGCTGCCGGCCTGAGCCCTGTGTGAGACACCAGGAATACCCCCAGGAATATGTCCCAGGAGGGGAGTGCCAGTGCTCTCCGCAGGCACCGGAGCCTCGGGAAGCAGTTTCCCTGCCAGGCGCTCCTCGTCCTGCAGCGGCTGCTGGTGCTGACGGGAGCCCTGGGTGGGTTTGTGGCAGGTGCCAGTTCCGCAGAGCCCCAGGTCCCCTCGCTCCGCTCCTGTCCTGCGCCGGGTGGGAATAAAAAGTGTCCGACCTGTCCGAGAGGCTCCCGATGTCCTTCCATGTGACCTTGCCTCCTTACAGGGAATTGCTGGGGCTGCAACAGTGGCGTGAAATAACAGGGAAGCGGCTGCCAGCTCGTCCCAGAGAATGAAAAATAGGGGATGTTTTTTCACTGGCTTCCAGCCCACTGATCTCGGAGCAGCTTTTCAGTCCAGGGCTCTGCTCTGCCCGTTGCATCCGTGACGGCAGCAGTTGGATGTGGCAGAGGGAGGAACCCGATTGCTCAGATGCCAGGGAAGACATTGGGAATTACCAGGCTTCCTAGTCCAGTGTCTCCTCTGTGCTAGGGCCAAATGCTTTAGTAAAACACGCAGAAAAGTCCATTGTAGGCAGTTTTAGAAATAGCTTGCCTAGAAAGGAAGTTTCCGTAGTTCAAAGCTGGCTCCTGCCCCAGTTTGGGCAGTTTACAACTTTCTCATCGCTTTTATTTTTTTTAAATCCAGCGTGATGGGCCTTGCAGGAGCGGGGTCATTGTCAGGGTCTCTACAAATGTTTCCCCGTTTTCTTTGTGTCCTGCCTAGTGAGAGGTGTCCTGTGCCAAAACTCTGCCTGGAGTTTTCCCAAGCTCCTTCCTCGGCTGGTTTTGTTGCTGTGCTAATTGTGGGACCGGAGATGAGGATCTCGGGAGACCCGCGGGTCACCAGCAGGCGGGTGACTGCAAGGGCACCAGATGCTTGGGAATAGTTGCTGTGCTTGGGAATGGTCCTGGGGGACTGTGTGGTTTGCTTTCGTGTGGAGCAAGGCCTGGGATGAGCTGGAGAACCAGCTTGTGGGAATCCAGAGGGCTCTGCGGGATGCCCATAATCACTGCCCATGTTGAGTTTTCCTTCCTCCCCGGGCCCCAGTAAAGGTTTTCCAGGCCGATCCGTGGCCTGCCCTGACTCGCGGCATGGCTGGGTGTCAGTGGGGCGGACTCAGAGCGGGAGCCGGTGCCAGGATGGAGGCTGCAGCTCTGCCTTGCATCCCGCAGGCTCCGAAGCTGCCCGTGCTGGGGCAGCCCGGCGGGTTTGGAGGGGTTGTGTCCGCAGGAGTCCATCGTGTTGGAGGAACATCCCCAAACATTGCCTTGCCTTGGCTGCCCCTGCCTGTCCCACAATGGATTTCTCTCCCTCTCTGTTTTTTTTCTTTCTCCTCCCTTCTTACTCCCTTTCCTGGCCGCACATCTCCATCCTGTGCAGGGGAAATCCAGGGGCTTTCAGCAGCGAGTATCATACAAGCAAGAATGTCTTGGCAGGCCGGCCTTCCCGTCAGGAAAACAGATGTTTCTGTAGCAGTCGAAGTGCTGTGAGGAGCTTCCACCCGGCGCGGAGGGACAGGGCTCGGCAGTGCCGGTGCTGCCGTCCCTGCCTGCGTCTCCCCAGCTGCTGCCCCGGGCTGTCCCGTCCCCAAGCGCTGCCAGGGCTCATCCTTTGTGTCACCTCTGTTTTCTTCCACCTCCTGGCAAACCTGGCGCTTGGCCGGGGGCTTTGGGAGTGATCCAGACCTTGGACTCTGGATCCCGGTGTGTCACATGGGCACCTCGCTGCCCTGGCTCACGTCAGACGCGTCACTTGTATGAGAAGGGGGGGGATAAAGTGCATGAGAGCTGGCAGGGGGGTGCCCAGGCCCTGGGGGTGCTGATAAGGTCCAGAAAGGTCCTTACCCTTAATGATGGTGCTTTCCTCCCTGATCTGGAGCTTTGCAGAGCTTCAGGGGATGCTCCGGACTCAGCTCTGGACCCAGTGACTACAGTTATTTGCTTGCTCTGGTCCCCATAGGAGGCAGTGACATAAATTTTCTATATTTTTCTATATATTTCTAGGGGGTGTTGGGTGGCCGCATGTCACTGGTCCCAGGTGACAGTGTCCCCAGTGCTTGGGACAGGATCTCTTGGAAAGGACGGATGTTTTCCCGCCTCATGCCTGCTGTTCACTGGGCAGCTTTTGAGCGCCGTGGCGGCTGCAGCGATGCTGTTACCTGGCCGTGGGGACGATGGCAGCGCGGCCGGGGTGGCTGGCGGGTTTGGGGCCGGTTCCTGCTCACCCGCGTGCTCCCCCTCTCCCTGCCAGGCCCACCTGCGAGCCGTGGACGTGAAAATCCTGCAGCAGCTGGCGGTGGTGAACGAGGGCATCGAGGCGGTGAAATGGCTGCTGGAGGAGAAGAGCACCCTGACGAGCCGCTGCAGCAGCCTCACGAGCAGCCAGTACAGCCTGGTGGGGAGCCAGGAGGCGTCGCGGCGCGGCAGCTGGGACAGCCTGCAGGACCCCAACGACAGGCTGGACAGCATCTCCCTCGGCAGCTACCTGGACACGCTGGCCGATGACATGGATGAGTATTCCCAGAATGCTGCCGAGCCTGCAGCTGCGCCAGGCAGAGCCCTGGCCAGGGCAGAGCACGACTGGGCCAGGATTGACCACGACAGGGGCGTCTCGGCCAAGCAGGAGAGGGGCAGAGCGGAGCACGAGTGGCCCCGTGCGGACCGCGCGCCCGCCGGGCCGCCGCAGGACTGGGGCTGCCCGGACCAGCAGAGGTTGCCCAAGGAGCCCCAAGTGGCCAATGGCTATTTGGGCAAGCAGTCCTCCTCTCTGGAGCCGGGCAAAGACACCAAGCTGCGCTCAGGGGCTGGGGAGAGGATGGGGAAGGGGAACTCCAGCGGGAAGGCTTGGAACGCCGACTCTGACTTTGAGAACTGCAAACTCAACAGCAAAGTGCACCTGGAATATGATGCCCACTGGCGCTGGCTCCAGTCTCAGGATGACGTGACGTTCTTGTAGCCCATGGCTGCACCTTCCTAGTCCAGCTCTGCCAACCATCTGCTCTGCTTCGTGTGTCTCCGCTTGGGAGGGCGGCCTGGCCGGGCAGGGGGAGAGGGCCCTTGGCTGCGTCGTGCTGTCCCGCTGACGCCCAGTCCCCCCAGCAGGGTTTGGTGACACACACTAGGGCCTGGGACGGGGTGCCCACCCCATGGCAAACCTGGGAGAGGCACAGCAAGGTGGGTCCCCGTAAGGTTAATCCTTTGCTACAGGGTGATGCTTGCAGGTGGCTTTTCCCATGAAGGGACCTGGTGGCTCATTGTCCTTGATAGGGGACACTTTGAGCTGGCAGTGAAGGGTTGGTGGGGGATGCTTGGGACAGCAGGACTCATGGGATCTCTCCCTGGTTCTGCATCAGCCCTTTATTCCTCAGCTTCTCATCTGCAAAAACAGGGGACTCTTCCCTAAATCCACAACCCAGACAGGCTGGAGATGCTCCCACCCATCACAGCTTGGTGGCACCAGCATGCTTGGTGTGAGCTGTGGGCTAGGATTGTGAGCAGAGCTCTGAAATCTGCGTGTCTGTGGCCTTCCCTTTAAGGCCAGTGTCTGCCTAGGGAGATTACACATGAGAAGAGCAGAGCACTTTATGGGAGATGGAGATCCAGTTTTCTTCTTCTGCTTCTGGACTGTCTCCCACCTTGTGACTGAATCACAAGGAGACCCCTGTTGAGCAGTGCTGCTCTTGGTGGAGTGGAAGTGCACAAACAGCCTGGCTGTCCGTGGTGTTCAAACTACTGCGAGAAGTCTCATGCTCTCCCTCATGCAGCACGATGAAGGCCAAGATTCTCCATCTGAATGGTGACGGAATGAATGTTGACAGGTCTCTGCAGCCAGCCGGCAACCAGGAACATGAGGTTCTCCTGCTGGGGTGGATTTGTACTGTCCCTGCTCTAGAGGCGTCGCTGTCCTTGTAGCCTTGGCTTCTCCCTGTGCCTTTGACCACGCGCACACCACGCTTCCCAGCACCCCCTCGCTGGCTTGTAGCGCATGGCTTAAGGCTGGAGCTGTGTGTGAGCCTGGCAGAAACCGCTCCCTGTAAACGAGGAAGCCGGGAAGGACTTTGGCATCCTGCGGCTCCCGCTTCGAGGAGAGGGGCTCTTCCGTCTGCACTACGGCAAGGAGACAGGCCTGGAGGGTCCCAGCTTTGCTACTGGTGGGTGCTTCTGCCCTTGGCTGAGTGCAGACATGACCCCGCTTGGGGTTTGCGCTTTTCCCCTCTGTCTGTGAATCCCAGTCTGAATTTCCTTACTGAGGTGGTGGAAGTTGGGATAATGTCCCGTGAAGTCAGTGGGAAACCAAGAGAGGAAGCAGGGATTATTTCTAGAGCAGGAGGGGTGCGGGCTGGCCGTGCTTAGCAGGGCAGTCAACAGCACCCAGCTCTCCCACAGCAGCAGCAGGGGAGATCCCGGGGCTCTCCTGGGAGGAAACGGAGAGGCCAAGAGCAGGACACAGCTCCGATTCCCAGAGGTGGTGTCTGTCGAGGTGCTGGGAATCCCGGCAAACCAGGGCTGGGCTGCCTGGCACGAGCCCGTGCGCCCGCCTGCCCCGAGCACCCGCGGCACCGAGAGCCTCCCGCCGGGCGGCTGAGCCCCTGCGTCCTGTCCCTTCCCCTGCATGTCCCGAGCCAGCTGCGGCTCCGGGGGGACGTGGGGCGAGTCCTGTGACGCTGTTGAACACCACTGTCAGCTACAACAGCCGCTTAATAAACGGTAGCGTTTCTGCCAGGCCCCGCTGGTGGAGCTTTGCTGCGTGCACGAGGCGTCTCGGCGAGGGGAGAGAATCTCAGTCCTGCTGGGATTGTCCTGCTGGGAAATGTCCCTGGAGCCGCAGGGAGCCCCCTCCCACGGTCCCCCTGCCCTGACACATCCCGAGGGATCCCCATCTCGCTTGGCCTTCTGGCTCCATGGCGCTTTGTGCAGCCCGAGCTGCCCCCTTGGTGCCTGGCAGAGGTTTTCCCAGCCCGGGGCCGGGCAGGAGCAGCCGCAGCTCTGGTTTGGGGGTCTTGGGAAGCTGGTTCTGTCCTGGGCTGGCTCCTGTGAAAACACCAGCCTTTCCAAAGCCAAGACGAGCCTGCCGTGACGGCCACAGCACCCGTTTGTGCTGCCGCCTCTGGAGGTGTGAGCCCTGCAGGGGAGAGGCAGCTGCTGGAGCCAGCACACCTGTGCAGGCCGTCCCCGTTTTCTGTTCGGATTAGTTGTTATTTTAAAAAAAAAAAAAAAAAAGAAAAAAGGCATGAAGAAAGCCCTAGAAACAAAACACACAGGCTGTTTCTGTTCCAAATCCTAAACCGCAGCAACTGGCCGGCTCTGTGCGTCACCCAAAGGCCGGACAGCGTGACCGAGCGCAGGCATTGGGAGGAGCATCCCGCAAGGAGCCGCGTTCGGCGAGCCCGGGAGCGCGGTGCCGGGGCCGTGCGCGCCAGCCCGGGATGCTCCCATGCCTGCCCCGAGCCCCGTGGCATCCGCCACTCCCAGCCGAGGGAATGGGCTGCTCCCGGCCGAGGGAACGGGCTGCTCCCGGCCAGGGGCTGCCATCCCGCTGCCCAGGCCTGGTATCGGCTCCGGCAGGTAAGGCAGGAAGGGGATGGAGGCAGGCAGGCCAGGAGCCGCTGCCAGGAACCGCCTGGCACGGCGAGGATGAAAGCACAGCCAGCTAATATTCTTCTTTTGGATATACACCGAGATTAGGCCTTCCTAACGAGGCACTAAAACACTTTAATAAGGAGCAGCGGGAGCTGTTTGAAAGTCCTCGGGGCTTCCCGCTCCCTCCGGGCCGTGCAGCTCTGTGAGGCCTGAACAAACGCAGCCCGTTAAGCCGTTTGCAGCGGTTCCTTGCAGGGAGGCTCTGTGAAAAAGTCATCTTTTCCTGGGAAGGTGAGAGCCTGGCACCGGGGCTGTGAGGTGCATGCCATGCACATGCAGGTATACACACATATGGTGTGTATATGTACATGATATCTGGGTGCGTGGGAAGGGGGAGCTGCGTGGGTCCAATCTGGGGCTGCCTCCAGGTTAAAAACAACCCAATGTAGGGGTCTTCTCTGCTTCCTGGGTTTTCAGGCTCCTTGGCAGAGCCCTGTTTCCAGCTCTTCCTTCCTGCTGCTGCTTTTACCAGGAAGCACGACAACTCAGCCCCAGGCCCCTGGGAGGTGGGGCTCAGAGCAGCCCACCACACGGTGAGCCCCATGTGAAACCCCCAGCGCTTGTCCAGCCCTTGCATCCCACCATGGTGCCTTTTCCCAAGGAAAGCCTGGATCTGCTCCCAGCAGGAGCTGCTCCCTGGCCCGGTGCAGACGCGTGACGCCAGCAGCTTTGGACCTTTGGAGTGGGAACGCCGGCTGCGACGAGCCTGGTGGGGATGGGAGAGGTGGATCCCTCGAGAGCCGAGGGATGGAGGGAAGCAGGGCTGGAATTGCAGGATTGTGTGATCCTGCTCGCAGCTCTGCCGCAGCACCTGGGATTGTGGAGAGAGGGTGGGAAAGGGGGAAGAGCGGGGTCACAAACAGCTGGGGACAGCAGAGACACTGTCCTCGAGAAGCAAAATGCCTGCGAGCCAGCTGTCCGCCTGACCCCGCTTCTCCTTTGGCCGCCTTCGGCTGCCTTTGGCAGAGAATTAGACGTCTCCCAGGCAGGAAATTCCTCTGAGTTTCATGCAAAGAGGCAGCCAAGGCAAAGGGAGAGAGGTTGGAGGGTGTCCAGCCTCTGAGGACAGGGCTGCAGCACAGGCTCAACCCCTATTACACATCAGAGAATCCGCACTAGGTTAGCCTGAATGTGAGTGAGCCAGCCCGGGGCAACAGGGACTCCTGCACAGGCAGCTCCAGCCCCTCTCCAGCATCCAGACAGCTCCTGGGGCGCCTGAATTGGCACCAAATCCATGGATGGATCCCACTAGGACTTGGCTCCAAGGGACTAGGTCCCTTGGCTGCATCCTGAATCTTCCTGCGGCCTGGAGAGGTCCCACTGGTCACCGTGCTGGCCTGGGACCTTGGGACATCCTGGAGCGATGCTGTGAGCTGGGAATCCCACTCCCACTGCCCCCACTATCCCAGTTGCATCCTTGGTGGGAGGGGAAGAAAAATCTCAATTGCTCCTCTGAGGAAATCAATCTGCTCTCATCCTAGCCCAGCCTGGCCTGAAAGAACCCCTGGAATGGGGCTGCAGTGGCCCCAGGAATGCATGGAACACCAGATTGCCTCAGTTTCCCTGTTGCTACAAGGGGTGGTGCAGGACACTGCCAGCCCTTGGTGGCTTTCTAAGAACACTCTTGTGCTTCAGGCTGCACCAACAGGCCACAGACTTGGCCCAAACCGCAAATCCTCCTGCAAATACAGGGTCGATGTTCACGCTGTGCATCTCTGCGGCTCTCCCTCTCCTTCCCCACAAACTTCCCAGCTCTCTGGCAGATTTTGGCCCATGATGGCAGAGAGAGAGGTCTGCGAGATGCTCTACCTGCCTTCTGGCGTGAGGAACTTGGCCTAAGGAGAGGGACACCAGAGCTGAGAGCGAGGCCGAGGCCCGAGCTCAGCCTTTCGAGCAGACATCAGAGACTCCCCACATCTCACTGCTGAGACGCGGTGCTGCTGGGCAGGACATCGTGGCCAACCCATCCAGCCCTGCTTGCCCCGGGCCGAGGCCAGGAGAGGACACGGTGCTTGCTGGGGGCAGGAATGGCCCCCAGGTGTCCCTTGCAAAGGGGCTCGGAGCGCAGGAGCGGCTCCGGTGGGATGTGATCCAGGGGGAGGCGGTGCTGGGAATGCCGCTGCCTCGGCGGGTTGCCTGGCGTTCAAGGCCAGGCCCGGGAGCGTGCGGATTAGGGCTGCTATAAAGAGCCCTGGCGCCTCTCGGCCGTGCTTCCTAAGGCGCTTAGGGCAGGAGAGAGGGACTTAAGGAGCAGCCTTGGGCACTCACGGCCCGTCACGCCTCCGGAGCGCCCTGGGGGCCCCACGGCCGAGCGCCTGCCCCATGGAGCCGCCGCGGGGCCGGCGCCGTTGGGAGCCTGGCCCGAAAGGCCAGGTTTAGTGGAAACGCGCGCTCTGCCCCGGGGCCGGCGGGTCACGCTGCTCCAGGGAGCACCCTGCCCGTTCGGGACCCCCCCCCATGCCCGGGCAGGGGCCTGGCCGCCTCTTGGTCCCCCCGGAGAGGGGCTCCGGGCTCAGACCCCCAGGCAGGAGGGGGGTGTTTTGTAGCCTCTTCCCTGCCCTGCCTGCAGCCCCAGTGCGAGCAGTGGGGCACCGCGCGGGCACTGGTGCCCGCTCCTCCGTGCCCGTGGCCACAGGAGGGAGCTGGGACCCTTCCTTGGCACCAGCTCCGGGGATGCGGCACTGGCAGATGCTGGGGGTTTGGATCACCCCATCGCCGGGCAGGAGACGCTGCATTCCTGCAGGGAGGGAAGCCCCTAACTCACCTCCCGCAGCTGCTGGGGATGCCACCAGGAGCAGATGAGCCCCAGGAATGGTGCCCCAGCTCTGGACGGGACCAAGGACCAGGGAAGGGGGAGTGGGTCTCTCCTGTGGGTCCATGTGGACCTACAGGACATGGTGGGGACGCCAAGGGTCTGCATGGCCAGCGTATGGGGGAGCAGGTCCAGCCGACGGAGCTTGGAGGACCCCCTTAATGGGAAAATCAGCTCATCCAGTGCAGCTTTTCCTGGCCTTTCTCCTGCCTTTACAATCCAACCCAAACCCTCAGGACTATTTCCTATTCGGTTTGGTAACGCTCTGGCAGCTCTGGCTGCTTGTGCCGCTCTTCTCACCTTGGGGGGCACCTCGCTGGCTCCTGCCCTGGCACGCTGCTCCAGAGGCTCCTCCGCGCGGTCCTGGCGCAGAGAGCACCACGCTTTGAAATGAAAATGCAATGACAACAAAAGCCCTGCCGGGAAGGGGCACCGGGATGCGCTTGGAGGAGACGAAGGAGAGGGGTCCCTTGGGGCAGGGAGGAGTGGGCAGGACTCGGTAGCAGGGACACATGAGCAATCTGCTGATGGCACCCAGGAGGGAAGGGGAAGGACCTGGAAAATCCTGGGAAGATGTGTGGGTGCCATGGTCCGTGCACAACTCCCGGCATCAGGAGCATCGGGAGCATCCCACCCCAGCACGGAGCCAGAAAGTGCAGCA